TTGTTTCAGTTTAGTTTTTATTGTTTAACTGTTGTAAACTCACATTCATGCAGCCATCCCAGTCTCAAACGTCTGCATCAACACCTCCTCATGCTTGTATTGACAAATATTAACGTAATGTAATATCGCTTCAGGGAATTTTTTTTAGGCAGTCTAGTTTTTATTTCAGTTAACTTAAATGTTTTTTTTTTTTTAAATCACACTTGGTTTTAGTGTGCCTCTCTATCAGCCCAGTGCTGCGTCACCTTGCTCTCCAGCACTCGGCTGTGGGTCGGGCTGCTGAGCTCCTCCAGAGTCTCTGCTGTAGGTCCGTTGAGCGTTTCAGGCAGCAGGAGGCCCAGACAGCCTGCAGACAGACCGCTCAGACAGAACACAGTGAAGGGCAGGGAGGTGTGGAGAGCCCGCTGCAACACACACACACACATCAGAGAAAGAATACACTGCTCGAACACTAAAATAAAAACAAAACTAAATTGTCATTAAAAATTCAAAGAGAATAAAAATAAATACTGTTTGAGATTCAATTTTATGGAAATCTATGTGGAAACTACGTACAGTAGATTTGATTAGCTTGAGTAGTTAGGCATGTTGTGTAAACAACCTACCAAAGCCCACAGGAATAATCCAGCTTTACTGGTTTAACTTTCCTGTGCACCTTCATTTAATGATAACAATGTTATACATACTGTTAATTAGGAGAAGCTGTTGCTGTTTCTGTTGTGTAAGTCAAAGATCTGTTTGCTGTGTTAGCAGATGCTATGGTTCAAACTTGTGCCTGTGCTTTAGCTGCTACGTCTTGCTCAAGTCACCTAAACGACCACTAGGTGTCACTGTATCTTCAGCTTTAAGTTACAACTGCTGCTCACAAGGGTTAACTGGGGTCAACGGTCCAAGTTTCACTCCGTTAAAGGGGAATTTCCTGCTATCATGACCGAATTTCTTTCACACAATCTCAACTCTGAAACAAATGTAATATGTCTTCTTTCATCCCTGAAGTGTCATCTGTCACACACACACAAAGGGTTAATGAGTAATTCAGTGCAACCATGTATTAACTAATTAGACATTTGGTTTAATAAGTGATTATTCAATGCCTTCAATGATAAAAAGCCCAGATACAAGTATGTCGAGGCATATTTCCTCTCTGCTTTTATGTGGGATACTAAAATGTGGAGGAATTATTGAACCTGAAGGTTCATTATTGACCTTGGAAACACCACAAAAAAAAACAACCCTTCTCCAAGGCAACCAGGAAACTCCATCCGCTGAGTAAGGGCCAGAGGGTGTGGCTGAATGCTGGAAAAACCCCAAGCAAGTGGGCCTAATCTTAACAATGTTTTCTACGTTGATTAGTCATGCTGAGGGGGTTTCATCATTCAACATGAAACACCACAGTAGTATTTCCTCTCTCTCATTCACTTAATCGAGTTTTTGGTTCAACATGCCCCCTTATTGGTTTTTAGAACATCTTGCCAAAGGACTGCAGTTGAAAGTTAGCCAGCTGGATAACACACTTACAGAAATGTTGATTAATGAGCGTCCTCAATGAAATGAAAGAGAACAGAAATCATTCTGTGAGCTCAGCATCCCCATCGGATATAAGAAAAGCTCACATTCCATGTTTTCTCTTCATGGGAACAAATACAGGAGTCTCAAAAAGTTCACTATCCATTCCTTCTGGATCCTACTAAAGGTTAATAAAGGTCATAGATTACTGAATGGCTCTTTAAGTTTCACTTCACATCTGAGATGAAGTGCTCGCTGGTGTTGGCTCAGGTTTTCTCAAGAGGAGATGTGTACTGTTGTTTAGCTATGAACCTACACCAGGGTCTCTGCAGGTTTCAACAGGTTACACTTAACGGTTTTTAAGAGCATTATGAATGCGATTTAAGACCTGTTTTACGTCCATACTGGTAAAAAAAACCAGCGTGATCAACGAAACTTTCCCCCCCATTTAAAAATTAGAAAAATGAAACAAGTAACGTTAAATTCATTAATCCAATCAATGTTTAAGACCTGTCATAATCATATTTTAAATCTTAAACTACAGATTATTCTTACCATGGAAGGAACAAATGGTGCAAGGATTCCTCCAACTCTGCACGACATAGAGCAAACTCCTAAACCAGCGTTCCTGGAACAAACACACACAAATACCCCCATAAAAAACAGAAAACGATTGACTTGAATATTGAACATCACTTGAAGGTTCTCACTGCATTACATATTTAGAAGACACACTTGAAGCACACCTGGTCAGCTTCAGGCAGCGTGATGTGTGTGAATAATTCCACATGCAGACTGTGGTCAGTTCACCTGATTACCGTAGGGTAGAGTTCAGAGGTGTAAACGTAGGCGATGTTGAATGCTGCACTGACCATCAGTTTTCCCAGAAGCGCCAAAGACGTGACGCTCAGCAAGGGCCCTGCAAACAAAAATAAACCCCCTTAACACCAAAAATACTGCTGAGGAGAACAAGTGACTTTGTGACCATCAGGCACACGGCGTGGACCGAATGCTTGACTGGATTCAGGATGTCGAATTCATTTTGGAACATTAATTGAAGAATTAGTTTAAACCGTTACACAGCAGAAACTGATTGTCTGATAGCTCTGACGGCTCATTAAACCTCTTTGTGAAAATTCATAACCCAATAATGCACATCACATTTGGCAGCAAAAGCTAGCTAAACCCCCAATCATTCCCAGGAGTCACAGCAAGACTACAGTTCTGAGCCCCTGAACGGTTGGCTCTATGTGCTGCTGATAGTGTAGATTTTAAATCCAATCTCACCTTGATCTAATGTTGAATTCATTCATCCATTAAGTAGAAGTGTAAAAGAATGAGATAAGATGGGTTAAATATGTGAAATATTAATATGTGGGACGAGCAGCTTGTTTTTCCCCCTCATCAGTTCACAGTTATTCTGTCACACTGCGATCAGACTGCAGGTTTTAAAACAGCTAGCTAACACTGTAGTTGTGTTATGTGGTGAAATCAGCCTCACACAACAGCTCAGCTAGTACCAGGCTTTCAGTTCACTTCTTTCCTTTTTTGTCTTGATGGTTTGAATCATAGAAAAGTGGGTACACGTTTGAACAGTTAGTACAGTTTGTACGAATATACATTTCCCTGTGTGCCGTAATCAATTATTGCATATTGGGGTGGTTTAGTTTAACAATGGCAATGTAATAATATGGTGCATTATGTAATAACCAGCCAAAATGGATGTCTTCATCTTTACACTTTATATTTTTGACAATTAACCTACATTAAACCTCCCGAATATTGAATCGGACACTGATGCCCCCCTTGGCATTATAGCTGACCGTGATCTTAGTCCAAATAGCCACATAAAAGCAGTGACAAGATCAGCTTGTTATCGTCTTATAAATAAAGCCAAACTCAGGGACTTCAGGTCAAATGCAGACTTGGAAAAACTCATTCACGCTTTTATTTCTAGCAGCGTAGACAACTGCAGTGGTCTTTTGACAGGGCTCCCCAAAAAGACCCTCAAGAAGCTTCTGCTTATTCAAAATGCAATTCATCAAAACATTACTACATTTGGTAAAAACCACTACAATATGGAATAATTCATTACACAATGTGGGGAAATGTATTATATATTTGGTCCAGGCTGTTTATCACAAATATATTAGATTTTGTTGTGTTATTACCTAACGGTCTGTCTCACCTGTGTTTTCGGGGATAAACATGGTGCAGAGGCAGGCGGATCCGGCCAGACACAGAAAACTGGCCATGCTTTTCCTCCTGCCAGCCCTGCACAACAACACACACAACAGCTTATCAGTGGAGGTTTTAACCAGAACACCTCACATCGCTATCTGCTATATCTACATGTACAAATCAGCACGTTAATTAAAAGAACTCCAGAGAGTCAAAGATGTTGTTCCATCCTGTTTCATCCAGCTGAAGTCTGCAAAAAGTGCTGAATGCTTTTATTTACTCTAGGCGTGATTACTGCAAAGCACTTTACTTGGCTATCACCCAGGGCTCCCTCCATCAACTCCAGCTGGTACAGAATGCTGCAGCCCGACCCACTACTGACACAAGGAAATATGAAATATACCCCTGTGCTTGCCTCCCTACACTGGCTCCCTGTCAAATTTCAAATTGATTTAAAACTGTTATAAGTCACTTTTACAGATTTAAACAGACTCCCACATACATTTCATATTTATTATGCTTGCATGTGCACACTCAAACCTTAAAACAAATGGTTATTCCCAGGTCACGCTGTGTGACAAAAGGCAATCTGGTTTTTGCTATTAGAGCTCCCACACTATGGAACTCACTGCCTACTAACACTAACATTGTTATTATCATCATCCTTATCATAATATATTTAAGAAATCTGTATATTATTATTATCCCACACTCACAATACAAAACAAATGAGTCATATCTCTCTTGGAACAGCCATTCTAACTGCAGTAAGTGCATTACTTCACCACCATTACTACATTTATCAGGAATTTCCTCATCTCTCTGTTTTTTTATGCATTTGTACCGCGTCACGTTCTGCACATCATCTTTTGTATTCTTTGTTTGTAGGTTTTACTTGTTTTCTTGTCTTGCTGTTTTTGTGTATTTTATTCTTGTTTATCACTGTTGTATCTGTACAGTAGTGTAGTCTTTTGTTTTTGCACAATAAATAAATAAATCTTTTTGTGCAAGCTTTTGGACATTTGTTGTTTTCATTTGTAATGTTTTTATTCCTATTTATCTGTTCTTTCTCATTGTGTTTTATTATCTCTGTGCTCATGTTCCTTATTGTCATTAACTCTGTGTTTGATTTGGGCAAAGAAACCTGTGACTGCATGGTCACACAATAAGTCCTATAATAACTGGATTTCTGAGACTTTTTCATACATCACCAACTTCTCCAGACATGAAGATCAAACGTTGGGGTGTGAGCAGGTACAAGGTGTTACTGAACTGAACAGTCTGTGTTATTGCATGTGTCTCACCAGTGTTTGTTGATGAAATATATGCAGAGCGGGTAGGCGGGCAGCTCCACCAGGCCGTACATGGCTACGTTCACATAACGGCTACCAGACGTGTTGCTGGCCCCCAGAGTCAGACCGTAGTACACCAGACTGCATGCATACCTGCAACACACACGTATACTTATGTCACGTTTAAGGACATTATGTTTAACTTCTTACAATTCAACTCCTGGAAATTTTACCTTACCCATAAGCACTAATGGCCTAACCTTAACCCTAAACTATCCCTAGCCTTAACCACTGACCCAAAAATCTGCTTTTTTCTAATTGGATGACATGGCTTTCGTCCGGAATTGGATAAGCCGTCCCCAATTAAGGAGGCTCAAGCCCTCCAATGTGTGCTCTAGGCTGCTACGAGTTCTACCCGTGTCATCTTCTTCGCTGTGGTGTGCTGGGGAAGTGACATAGAGACTTGTGTTAAAGCTTAAATAATCCTTTCTTGTGTGTTTGCTATTATCATGCATTATTCTGCATTTTGTTCTGACTCTATTTTTCTTCTCAGTACACCTGTGACTTAAAGTACACTGATTCCCTTTTGGATGATACTTTGATGGGACAGAATCTTTTTCAGTACAAATTTGTGACTGTAATATGAGCTCTGTCCTCCCAGCTAAGATAGACTGACTCTCTTTTATTATCCTGAGTCATTAAATAGACTTCACTGCTTGTTGAATCATTGTTTATTTGTTCATTTCTCCGTCAGGAAAAACCTAAATCCCACCACACTGATGCTGCTCGTGGTGAGATGGAATTGGACGGTGTGGAGGCGGTGACAGGGGAGGATGAGAGGGAAGCTGAAAGCCGTCATAATGACAACCCCTCTCGGTCCTCTCTACGCTGAGATGAGGTGGCTCAGGAGCGTGTTCAGCCACGTGCCGCAAAGCACTTAGGGGGCTTATTCTGGCCATCAGCCATCAAACTCCACAACGCCACAGCACCCAGCATCTCCTACCTCCGCTGACTGCAACTCTAAACCTAATGCCACTCAATTAAACTGTCAATCACAGCACATGGACATACACAAAGAATACTTTTAGAAACATTGCACATGTACATATACACAGGTTCATTCAATTGTATCTATTGTATATATTATTATTCCTATTTTATAATGTTCTTTATTCTTTGTACTGAATTCCCCTGTGCTGATCAATAGAGGTACATCTTCACACACACACACACACAGATCAATTATATTAATCCGCAATTCTGATTTGATAAAAGGGTTTGAAAAGAATTTGTGTTAGGTAATGAGAGATCTGCAGCGTACTCAGCAGCTCTGAGATTTCTCTTCATTTTCGCTTTTCAGAAGCACATCCTGCTTGTTTACTGTAAACTCTGATAAACAAGTACGATCCAATCAGGTCTACTCTTCAAAAAAAGAGAGAAAAAGAAAAAAGCCTTTTCGTGTTAAAATCAGTTCAGCCTAAACGCTCTGTAGCAGCTGTGATAACATGGGTGTAGAACTGGCAAGAGGGTGGTGTCAGACAAAAGGTTTTAGTCATGAACATGTAAGTGCTATAGATACAGAGTGTTTGACAGTACTACATAGTTTTTGTTGTGAACATCATAGATCACTACGGTGCAAAAAATCTTAAGTTAAGCAAAAATATTAGCAGTGGTGGGCTAACAGTTGCAAAGGTAGTTTCAGTATGAGCAGCAGTTTCATTAGCAGTTCTGGCAGTAATGATAAAAGTCACAGAAATGATAGAAGTAGCCATATTCATAGTAGAAATACTGCAGTTAAAGAAGAAGTAGCAGTAATAGCTCTGATTTGAGCCTGTGGCAGCCGGATTTGAACCAGCAACCCTGTGTTAATGAGCCTGTTTAATCAGCTTTGAGCTTAAGCAGCAACACTTCTTCTGTGATGGTATACTCACCAGACATACATGAGCACCATGGTCCTCAGACGGAGGACCGGATGGATCACCAGCTGCAGGACACTCATGCCCTTGTTGTTGTTACCGGGTTTAGCAGCACCGACACGTTGCAGCATCAGGTTGTTGGCAGCGTTGCCGTTCCTCAGAGCCATGTAGCGCAGAACCTATTAAGACAAGATGCTTCCTAATTAAGTTACTCAGTGTTAGGTTGTTGACTCGCAACCGTGACACAGGCTGGTTCAGTGCCATTTTACAGTGAGGTCGAGGAAGACTCAAATTCATTCTCTTGAAAGAAGAGGCAGAGAAAAAAATTAAATGTAATCTTATTTTAGAAACTAAAAATCCGTTTAAAGAAAAAAATGATTGATAATCTGTCAATCATTTTCTCGATTGATCGGTTAATGTTTGGCCCATAAAATGTCCCAAAGCCCAATGAGATGCCCTCAAATGTCTAGTTTACTGTCAAAGAGGACTAAAGAAATCAGAAAATATGTATTTTTTCATAATTTCTTTTCACAAATCGATTATCAAAATATATGGCCAATAATAAATAGTTGACAACTAACTGAATAACTGAATAATAATTGAAAAATCTTTATCGTTTTATACCGATATTGTCCATAAACAGGCTTTTGGCTGCCATAGCCCTCTCGTACTGATACAACTACAGCTAAAACAAACTCGGCACTGTTGTATCAGTTACCTCCTCAGCTTGCCTCGTCTGACCCTGAGAATACAGCCAACGAGGAGATTCTGGAAGACCGCTGGAGGAAAGGAGACCAGAGGAGAGATTACAGTTTGTGATGCAAAATGTATGTAATTAGAAATGATTTTATCTTATTCTATGGATTTGATAATCTTCTGTGTCTTATCTATGTGTGCAGCTATTTTTTATCTATTATTTTTATCTTTATCTTTATTCCAGCTCAAAAATTCACTACATCAGCCAACATCAGTGAATTTTTCCCTCTAAAATTGGTATTGTTTCAAGATCCAATGAGGGTTGGGCTCTACTGTATTAAAGTTTTTTAAAAAGAGATTTGTTTTCGTTTTAGATGGATGCGGGCGGTGGCTTGCCTCTCTGAGGTTTGTACTCACACAGACAGCAGGAAGAAAAGGACACCGGACGAGTTGGCCGCTGTGGCCAGGTTCCTCCACGGCTGGATGAAGTAGCCCAGAGCTCCAAACAGGGCGATGCCGACCGCAAAAGACATACTGGTCAACGTCCCTGGAGAAAAAAATAAATACAAACTCAGTCCAAGAGGGAAGGATCAGCAGGGTGTGGTTAGAGTGACCACATTGTAATGTCAAAATCTCATGTTTGATTACTGAAACAGCCATAGGAACTTTTCAAGCCCACACCCACAATTACATCCTGACACAGCCAAATGTCCCTGCTAGCTTTACTCTATCAGTAAGACCTACAGTCGCCAAATATTTACATAAATTCATGTAGGACAGGATAGTTTCTGTGTTTTCTTACCAGTCATGGCCCAGTAGGACTTGCCCACGTACTCCTGAGTGAGGACGAAGCAGACGAGCCCGATGCCGCCGTTCATCAGCCCCACTAAGAGACGAGACACGGCGAAGACCTCATAGCTGGGTGCGAAGGCGGTCACATAACCAAAGACCACCTCAAAAAACAGACCTGGAGGAAAGACAGAAAGAGACAGAGAGGCAGAGAAACAGACACCGCTCTGTTTAATGGTCTTTTTAATGTCTCTGCATGCAGCGTGAAGCCAAGCTGCTTAATGTGTGTGTCATCAGCTCCACGTGGAACATTCAACCCCACTTCAAACACAGCGGCATAAAAAAAGTCATTCATGAGTTTGTCTGACTAAAACCACAAAGGGGGGAGGTTGATCTGGGACTGCGGAATTGTATTATCATTTCTGAGTTCTTCATGTTTAGAGACCTTTATCATGGGGGGGTCGTGAGACCTTTTTGATTTTAAGGGGTGTAAGAAAACATAAAAAATGTACACAGTATATATGTCAGAATTTCATTAGGTTATGTATAGAAAAACAAATTAAATTCTTATTTTTAAAGTTTAAATTATGATTAGAGATGGAAACACTGAACACAAGCTATATTCACAGAGCCTTCAGCTTCTGATAAACAGCCTCATCCTGCATTATAACAACAGCCAAGTATCAGGAGAGGAAAAAAGAAGCCTATTAAGTATGTATGATCGCTAAAAAGAAACATAATAATATAATAAACATAATATAGACAGAGTATTTTATTTTAAAAAAATAGTAGAACTAATCTCTATTACAGTAGTCACAGGAAATAAAAAGAAATGAATCCAAATTGCTTGTTTTACACAAACTTCATGCTGTTACTGTGTTCTCTATTTGGGCTCATTGTACAGTTTATCCATTGTTCTGTATGTGTTGAATACAATATGAAATATCCATATAAAAAGGCACTCAGTCAGGGGTCGTCAGTTTACTCAATGACAGAAAAGTGGCCCCTGAAGGGAAAAGGTTGGGAGTCTAGTCAATGTTAAGTGTATTTACTGCACCGCTGTAAAGAGTCGCTCCATTAATTAACTTCATGGGAATTAGCCTAGCTGTTTGTTAAGCTTAACTGGATAGGGTGCCCTGTTTTACTGTGAACAGTATTATATAATATACAGTAACAAGCTAGCTAATATTACTCACTAGTCCAACAGCAGGAAGGCCAGCTCGCCGTCTTTCTGCAGCCTTTTCTTTCACTAAGCTCTTGCCAACAACTGAAAGCCAGTCTCAGACTTACTCCTGTCTGCAGCTTCTTGCTGGATCGCTCTCTCCTTTCTCTTCTTAGCTTCCTTCCTTCGTCCTCTGAGGTCTCTCCGCCTCTAACAATAACAACGTCCATAGAAGCTGCCGAGCCCGGTTACACTGCCCGCTCCACCGGCTCTGATCTGGCATAACACCAATGTCAATGCCCCCCCCCCAGTGTCAGTGTTACCAATGTAAACACAAACCCTCCCCGGGTACTCTCAGCACCCAGCAGTATGGCTAAGCTAACAAGCCAACAGCAGCTACTTCACTGTCTGTCAGGAAACTCTGTAAGTCACAGAGTTGAGGCAGAGCAGCTGGAGGACATCACAGGGAAAACCAGAAAACAGTATCTCCATATAATATGATCCAGTTTCACCAAAATCACTGTCATAGTTGGTGGTGTGACTTTGTGCCGTAAAGCGTTACGCACTTGTCCCGACCCGGACACAAAGGTTCCATAGTGCAAGAACAGTCTTTTGGGGTGCAGAGCGGGAATGACAGAGGCATTCACAGTATTACAACTTAGCGTAGCATGGGCGCTGTTATTTTAAGGTAGAAAAGTTACATAATGTCGCTTTAAGCACCTAGCTGATGACGAAAAACTGTTAGCTAACATGTTCTCAACAGTAAATGTATCATTTCTTTAAAATCAGGAATATACGAATCCAACCTCTCTCCCGATACTTCAACTCAGAGCACCGATCCAAAACTAGCGCTCTGTTTTTCCCAAATTCAAAATACGGTATGTATACCTCACTGCATAGAACGTATTGGGATAATCTTCATGAGGGATTTATGGGATTGCTGTGGCAGCCAAAAGCCATGAATTCAAACAAGAAACAGTCCAGGACAACTTCACTGAGACAAATCTGTGTCATAAGGTCTGTGTAGGGTTTCTGCAGTTTCAGCAGGTTAAACCTAAGATCTTTTAAGACCATTAACTGCTAACGTTAAGGTACTCGACCAGACCAAAAAACAGTCAGGACATGTTTTGGATATTTTGATTTAGCCTTTTTCACAGATTTGAGTTTAATTGGAAGGGGGGTACACAGGCTTGAAGCATCGTGCCATGAATACTTGCCATGTTTGCCATGCAGGTGCGTAAGTGGGCTTACTTTTCAGATCGTGCATCCGCCCTACAGTTAAGAGGGCAGGTGTGTGTGTGTTACTTGGCCAAAGGTGATTGGGATGGACCATATTTGCTTATGGTTCCATGTCGGGCTTTGGTTTTGTAGTTGTGGTCAGTATGAGCACATGATCGTTTCTAAAAACACATTTAAAAGTGTGGCTGCTTTTAAATGTGTTTTTAGAAACAGTATTGCAATGTTCAAATGCAACGTTATATGCGTAATGTTAACTTAATTAATCTAATCAATTTTTAAGATCTCTCAAAATGATATTTAAGACCTTTTAAGATATTTTAAAACTAAAAATTCTGATTATTGTATTTTACACTATAAGACATTTTAAGACCTGTGAATAGGGTTAGTTGCCTGTGGTTTTTCTCACCTGTCAAGTAGACAGGTCTCCTACCAATCCTGTCAGAGAGCGGCCCAAAGACGATGTTCCCGACCAGAAGCCCGGCGAAGAACAGCGATCCAGCTAGACTGACCTTGTAGGCCTGCTGCTTGACAAGAAACCACTGGGGGACACAGAGACAGGCAGTCTTCCTGAGCTATTTGTGAACATTATTCAGCTTCATTCATGCAAACGAGCACACATGCTGAATCAGGGGCCTTGGCTGGGTGAAAGTGAAAATGCGTACAGACTTTGGCTCCCTCACCTCGGTCACTATGGTGTCGATGTCCTCTGTAAAGACGACACGTTGGAGGAGCTCCTGCTGGCCGGATGGGACGCCGTCCTGCTGCTCGATACGGTACTCTGGCGTAGATCCAACCAGAACGATCAGCATGGACTGACAGGCCATGTACACCTGAAAACACACAGAGACACTTCATGACAGCAGCACTACAGCAGCTATCAGCATGTACGTCTGACTGCAATACAAACCCGGCAAATACATTTTTCAGCTGACGTAGGTGTTCTGCATCCTTACAGTGGAGAATGTTCTAACCCTTCACTGCATTATTAACTTGTTTTGGATCAAAGGCCAATACCAGGCCAATAATTAATAAGAACTGAATTCACTCTTCTTAAGTGTTGACAGTGTGTAGCAGAACTGTTTTTATGATATAATATTAGTAAGACATGTACCCAGCCAGGATACTGAGCCCCAGGGAGTCATATCAAATGGGAGCTGAGTGGATCAACAGGTTTTAAAGACCCTGCTACTTTATGTTCAACTTCATTTTAAACTAATTATGAAACCAAAGAAATGCGGAGGATATGTCCTTAAATTAGATTCTGTGGTGTTTATTAAGAAAGACAGCAAACAAATACAGAACATATCAAACCCCCACAACGTCAATAATAGCAGCATGGAAACTTGCATTTACCAACTGACGTTCCTAGCTAGCGAGAGGGGGAGTTAGCCTAACCCTATGAGACAAACTTCATTTAAAGATGCGGCCGTTTGGGATTAAATGTGTTATTTGTGACAATTTAGAAGAAGTGGGAAATTGCTTAAACCGATTTAGGAATACATGGGATGTTGTGATTAATTCGGCATGCGCTTGACATGCCTATGAGCTATATTAATTAAATTAATGTACAAATATCGACACGTCTGACAGTGCTGGTCAATGTAGGAATCCGCGCGGGGGATGTTATTTCAGCCAATAAGCGATACAGGACTGAAAGGTTCACTACGATTAATTTATGTCTAAACGAGACTTTTATGGTGTGCCGAATTACAGAGCAACTCGTATAGATGTGTAAAAAGATTTGAATTGTGGCCTGTCTTATTTGTAAGCTTGCAATTAACATGGCAACAACATTCTTTCCGTTTTTAAGGAAGTCTGGTGTAAAGTTCCCGGTAGAAAGTGCACTTGCTGCGTTCGTATCTAACGGTAGCGAAGACAGTTCAAACGCTAAAATGTTAGAGCACTCACGCCGACATTGATGTTATTTTGTAAGTCCACAGTCAAACTCTTAGGAAGCCCTCCGGGAGAGGCTGAAAGCCACGTAGCGATACTACTGTAACGTTACAGTAAGCTGGCTACGTCTGCAACGTTAACGCAGGGGACGCTTTCCGCGGTTGTCTAAAGCACATACTTTCAAACATACTAACTAACCTGTGTCAGAACAAGGACAGCCACCGCCCGCTTCTGGTAGGGTCCAAACTCGCCGACAACTTTAAAAGCTTCTTCTAAATCCATCCCAGGTAGGGCGGCCAGGCGGCTCTCTGCTTTAGCATCGCCACCGCGGCAGGAAGGAAGGAGAGTGATCCGCGCGTACTTCCGGCTTCGCTTCAACGCTGCGTCGTTCCGAGAAAGTTCATACTCATGGAAAATAATAAAGACAAGTCCAAAGTCTGTTTGGTGGGAGGCCGATTTATTTAAAAGGCACTTCGTAAAAACAAATCATACGCCGGTCAGCACTTTAAAATTCTATTTTAAATAAATTAAAAATAGTGGCATGAATACGTTTTTTTTTTTAAACGTATCTCTATCTGAACCAAACAGGAAGACTATATGACATGAAGAAACAACCTAAAAACTACACGATCACACCAGCCAATGTACAAAAATATGATATCAAATAACTGAGTACACTGATCCAAGGTTGTTTGCTCATCACATACATAGACATTCAAAATGCTGACACAGCCAAACATGCAATTAAATATATCAGTAAGAACAAAAGCATGTTTATACTGTACACATTGCATTATTCTGGCTCTTCAGCGCCTTGTAGCTGAAGCAAAATAAAAACATTAAGAGCACAGTTACAATTTACAATCTTTTTAAGTTAAGTAGTTAAGTGATCGTGATGTATCAAATCTTAAGAGTCTGTGGGAAACTCATATGTATGTTACGTATATCCTATATAACGCTCCCTACCTAGTAATAATAGTCCTAGCCTACTACCTCTTAAATCTAACTCTACTTACCACAAGGTTATTTATTTGTCGGGTTTGTGTGTGTGTGTTACAATAGGGGGGGCAGCATTTCATTTATTTGATATTGCTTGAGGTGTGTGGCTAATGTGACTGGTATATAAAATGTGAAACTCTTTGAAAAGGAAATACCAAGAGGTTGTTTTGATGGTGAATACAATGAAAGGTGGTCCCAATCCAACCAGATCATTTTCTGAGCTATACTAGCAAATTGTCTACTGCATAAATGGGCTGTTTAGCAATCAAATCAGATCTCTCTGTTCCTGGGAGGAGTGCTCAGTAAGTACATGATCCGCCCTCGAATGTAAACAACATTAACGTTTGGAACGATGCTGTGGAAGTGGAATAGAGTGCAGGATATGTTCCATGTTTAGGGAAAGTTACAAACGTTATGGGTTAGATCTAAAAGGCTTTGTTGAGTGGCCGTGCTACAGGTTTACTTCGTCGTTCTGGGCTGGCATGTAAGGATTCTCATTTTAATGGCGTAATAATTTTTCGCTCAGTCGATTGACTTATCCCTTGAAGAAAGTATCGCCTTCCTTAACACGACTGAATTAAGAGAAAGGAAAGCCATTTTGACTGCTAAAAGAACACAGGGGTTCTAGCATCTTTCCTTCGAAAGGATTGTCTTTTGGGTTCCTGTCTTTTTACCTGACTGGGTCTATTCTTCTGGAATCGGTGAATGTTCTTACATATGACCTTAGTCTTGAAATGGCATGGGATGTCTTATCGTGTTATTATCGTCTTCCCCTTTAGCTGTATGACCGGTTCAGACTTTTTGTTTCTCATACAGGTCCGCGTGAGTTTGCTAAGAAGCGGGGAACATGCAAGTGGCTGATACATTGGAAAAAGTTTGGGCATTCCCTCGATATTTCAGATAATACGTGATCTGGACTGTTTTGTTGTTTGCTGTTGTAGACTGTGTGGCGATGGTCATGTCTCTGTTCCAAAACGTTGCACAGGGTTTGTAGGGTTGTGTGGTCGTTTTCAAAAGTTTCAGTCTTAGTTGGGTATAGCGGTGACATTTTATTGGGACTATATAAAGTATAACTGGCAGCAATCTGCGATTTGGACATTAAAGTTTGAAGTTTCTTGAATTTAAAGTAGAAGTAGTGGCTGGTATATTGCTTTTTGTAGGGACAGTGAGGACCATCTTCCCGAATGGTTTTCACATCTTCAATCTGCTGTACTTGCTCTTTTAGTCAAGTGAGTTAGTGGCGAAAAGTTTGACACACATGTCAGGAATTGAACAGAGGACTCGCTCGCTTTACCTTCCTGATAGGATGGAGTTACTCTACAAAACAGTAGTGCTTTCCTTGTGGAGGAATATCGACTTCATTGGAGAAGCAATCCAATGAGATACGGTCTGTCTTCTGGCGAGCACGGTGTCCAATTTTCACAGATAACATTTCTGCTTTCCTCTCTCCTTCTGCTTTGTCTTAAGAACATCACATTGCCGTTCCCCTCAGAAAGAGTGCAGGGCCTCCATGTACTTCCGGCATTAGTCGGGCTTTGGTCCCGTATTGATTGGCCGAACAAGCTGCTGATCTGCTGTCGGGTTTAGCAAGAGATCAACGTGAGTGGGTTGATCATTGTATCGCGTTGTTTTAGATTCATGCGTTCGCTCGAGGTGACCTTGCCAATTCATACCCGTTTTTATATCTTGATTTTCTTTGCGAAAAATACAGCAAGACAAGGTCTGAGCTGATTTAAAAGTAACGCTTCTTCGAAGGTAAATAAAGCTAGCCACCTTACTAACCAGAGTTGCTGTAGTATCTCCTTCATCCTGCCTGTACACAAGCTGGATGAGACTTTTCAATTACGTTCGTACGAGGAAATGCAGTTACGCTTGGGCATCCGTTTAGAAGCTCTGGTGCAAGTTGGTCGAACCCAGCTTCCCCTAAGGGATTCCTGTGTCTCTCGACGATGGCGAAAACGTTCCCATTGATCAAGGTCAGCACAGAATGAAATGTTTCCAACCTCGCATTTGAGCTCCCGCATTTTTCTGATGCATCGAGCAAGGCAGGGTTCATGCCGGCGATAGGCTAAGACTGTGCCGCACCGCCTGGATGCTGCTTACAGATTGAGGGAACTCGCTCATCCGGCTGGTGCAAGCTCTCGGATTCAGGCCGAGCTCGTTGATGGGGGGATCCAACAGAATCCGGGGTTAGCAGTTAAGAGATGGTAGTACGGTGACCGTCTGACCAGGGAAAACGTATGTGTCTCAGCTTGATATTGAGGGAAACGTCGCGATGAACCTCGCGATACGGTTCCCACACACGAGATAGGTCAGCAAGGCATTCCTTTCCTGTGGTATGGATTCTCCTTTGTGCATAAGATTTAGCCTCATACGCCAAAGCTGAGGATTCACGGTTTCACCCACACTAAAAAGGAGCACCGACATGGGTCTCCAGGGAGCCGTGCCTTCGACAGCACCCGTTGTGTCTGTCATTACTTTCCTTGTCCATTCCCAGCCTGAAAGAAGTATTTAGATGATGTGATCCACCGACCGTATGTATTTACAGCCCGCGATATTGATAGGTATTGTCTGAAGGGGCAACATCATTTTCCGACTTACTTTTATTGTCATATATCCAGAAATCAATGGAATCAAGAAAGGTTTGTTCTAAGTGGAAAATGGTGAGACAAGGGACACTTTTCTGTGAATTGGCTATCAGCATCCTAACTTTTGCTAAAGCGGCTGGAAATAGTCCTCCTGTTCAGCCCAGATTGATCGAAACTGAACTGTGTATTTTAAGGCTACTTTTAGCTTTTTACAGCTACTATTCTTGGTGTCCTGGAGGTATATTGTATAAGGAGATGCAATAGTGGGGCATATGTTTATATCACAGGGAATCTGTCAAATCAAGTAAGATATGCATTGAATATCAGGGGGGATGAGATTGGAGTGGTCCTATTTAGCTCACTAGAAATCACTAGCGCAGAAAGGTTTATTGTATGCAATTTGATAGTGCCACCAAGTAATGTTTAATTGGTAAAGGATGTGTTTGAGTGGTCTTGGCTAAAGACGTGTAGTTGTTTTGGGATAGACGGAACAACATTTCTCTTAGAACCCTTAGAATTGATTAAGGATAGGGAAGGAAACGAGTAACGGGACCCAGCCTGCCTTGGATTTCACCGCCTGAAGTCGCCCGAGCCCGGTAAAGACCGAGGGGCGCGCGGGGAGACTGCAATTGAAAGTTACCACAACCCCTAAGTTCATATTCTTCGTCGAACCACTCCCCTCTCCACACCACGTTACAAATCTGTACTGTACTATCGAAATATTGTCATAATAGAAACCTACCGTACCAGAATGTTAAATAACCGAATAACAGGGTACCCAAACAGCTAAATATCTGTATGGAAATAGATGCTTCGAAAGAGCACAATAAAAGCACAAACATTATGAAATACAGAATTACTTTGTGTGACCTATCCGATCTATAAATGCACCAAAAAAATTAGAATCAACTATGCAGTTTGATTTTCTGTGGCACTATAAATATACCACACCCTCCACATTCATGAAACTTTCTATTTTTTGCATAGTTTGTCTTTGATTGTGCGACAAGCATTATTCATAAATGATGCAGGCTATACTCCTCTTACATTAACCCACCTACCAATACCACATTCCATGAAACCCATAAGAATGTACTCCGTAAAAGCTAAACAAAAGCTAGATATACCAACTATAAATATAGTTCATCTTAAGTGGAATCAATTTGGCTGAAACATGGAAGAGAACTTTTCTCCAGGCTTTACAAAAGTAGTAAAGGTGTGTAGCACACTATAACAACAAGAAAGTGACTCCACTGTCTACCATTTCTCACTCAGAACAAAACCTTTGGACATGGTTTGGTTATTGAAATAACCAAGCTATTAAAACAATGAATTAATGCAACACACCATCAAAAGACGTTATTTCTCCTACCAATGGATACGCGAACAATCATCACTGTCGGACCCCAATGTGTGAAGATCACCTAACATTCCGTATATCTTATACAACCGCCTGGGGAATGACAAAGGGGAAAGTCAGTAAAAAAAAATGAACCAGACACAACAATATCCAAAAAACCGGTGATCGCTGAAGGCAGTCGGACTTTCCCCTGGAGCCCCCACAACACTGGGGTGCTACCTTTTAGGTGTAATAGAAAGCGGTGAAAAACCCGTAACTCAGCCTTGGCGTAACACCAATAATTAGGGACTACCAACCCCTATGTTGCACAAACGGACAAACATACCCATTACCCCAGGGTACTAGAACCCCTGCCCTCACCAATCGTCTTAGCGAGAAACTAAAATAATGGCCACGAGGCTTTCATCCACAAGAACGCTTTCCTCCACAAGCTCAGAGCACATCCAAATAAACTAATATCTGACCCTGGTCAGAAACAACCGGAAACCTTCACCACCAAACTACTACATCTCCTCACCTGGACATAATCCACTCCGTTTCAACACTTTGAACTGACTAACCCACACCCATCTGAGCTAATACCGGTCAGACACACGCGTAACCTATGGAAACATCCTCGAACGCCAACTGAACGGTGGTCTCGCTAAATGCAGCAGACAAAGCCCAGGGTGGTGATCCACAGCGATATAAACGCCTCCTTCCGTAATCGAATCCGTGATGAACACAAAAGCAGCTCTAAATTGTTGATGCCTCTAATGTATGGAACCCCTATATATTCCCGGCATTGATGATGAAAGAGTGACTCACACAAACTCTTCTGGTGAGGCATGACTTAACTGATACCCAATGAGTTTCTGGTCGCCCCTGTAGAGAAGATATGGACCACCGATCAACCCCATTGAACCACCAGCATGCCGTGGACCACCTCTAATGCAACCCAGAGCTCTACGGGGAATGGCCTGACCCAACCAAAACTGCATAATATCCTTAACCCGAAAGTATACGAAAAAGCCAAAGTACCCCTCATCTCGTTTCTTGTGTTGTACACAGGGAGGATGAACCCGGAGGGGACTACTCACTACACCTCGTGGCAGACAATTTGTTCACGTAGAAGTTCCGCACGTTTCATGAATAATGATTCCTACAGACCCTGGCTCAAGTAAGTAGATGCCTGTCATATTGCTCCCTCCCCTCTCTATCTCCGCAAGATCAACGCGCTAAAACGGCATGGCTGCGTCATATGTATTTTATTGGATTATCAACGCACTCCTCCAACATACCCAAAAAAAAACAAACCAAAAAACCCCCGGCCTCCTCATCACGTTATAATAGCCCGTCATATGGCCTTATATT